AACTTTAAAGTTTAGTTTAAAACAGGCGTTTTCCTCCTTGTCTTTGTTTTAAACTAAACTTTAAACTTTAAGCTAATCTGAGGCAGCACAAGCAATTATGTATTTTATTTGAACTAAGCTGGAAAAATAAATATGAAGGTCAATTAAATTATAAAACATGGGGTAAAGTTCTCCTTTTTAATTTATTTGGTGCATTTTAAAGGTATTTATTTTTTTGAAAGTTCATTTCTCTATTTCTGCTTTTATTTCTAATTATGTCAGTTTTGGTCCTCCATACTGCAGAACTTGGAAGAGGTAGTTCAGTGACTGAATCAGGTTTGTTGGAGCAGGGGAAATGTAAAACATGTAGGGCTGCGGCCCACAAGGACCACGATTGCTCACCCCTGGTCTGATGGCTCAGGAGATTTTTCGGTAACAGAAGACACACACAGCACACAAAGACATTATTTCCTGTCTTTTGACAGAAGGTGATAAATAAATCCTTCCTCTTAAGATTTTAAAGGCACAGACTTTAAATCTGTTTCTGATGACAGGTGCTGCAGAAGCATGCGGTGGTGGAACAGGGGAGCAGCAGCTCCACGACCCACCTCTCATATTTGATCTGGAGCGTGAGGAGGCAGAGGAAACACCCCTGCCGTTTGACACACCTGAGTACAAGGCCGCCGCACAAAGGGTTGCCCACAAAAGGGAGGAAGTGCTATGGGACATTGCTACGGACATGTCAGTGTCCACAGCAGACTACAGCACAGACGAGTCAGCAGCACCCTGCTGTGATCAAACACAGGCTGTCTGTCGGTGTCACAGGAAGACATAAAGACTTTCAGGAAACACTGGTGAAACTCTGATAGGCAGACATGTGGAGACCACCGAGGTCTACAGAACAGCTGGAGTTTGTCTTGACCATGTAACCGTGTGATCTGCTGTAGCAGCAACAACTAATCAGACCAGGCAATAGTCTAGATTTAGCATTACTGTACATATTGGTAAGATAGCAAACAATAAGGACTGATTGTGTAAAATTTGTAAAAACTATTAATGATCCAAGCAAAATTATTAATAATATATTAGAGTCTGTATAAGCTATCTAATGCAAATCAAAATGCTAGAAAGCTGTGTGTTATGAATGTACTAACAGAAGAGAAGCAGGAAAATGTCTCTCATTTCATAATTAAGCTGATTTTATCTTATTTATGTCAATGTGGATGTGAAGCTAATGTAAAATTAAAATAAGCTTATAAAGTCGATGCAGTCACTGTTATTTATTGAACTGGTTAACAGATATTAGCTTCTGTAGCATAACACTCTGCTGATTTATGCTACAAATTAACACTAATTATTAAATATTACAAGCTGGTTTTGTCTCTGATTTATGTATTATTTACACAGTTTAAAATATTTTGTTTCTGACTATTTTATGTGTCTTGGACAAACCTGACCTGTTGAGAAGATGGTTAGCTAATATCTGTAGAGACAAGTTTCATGCTAAAGCATCACCAGGTATGCAGTGAACATTTTTAAAGTGTCGATTGGTAAATATTTATTATTATTAATTTTCAGAAATAATAAATATACTTTATTACATGTTGAAGTCATAATTCTTCAACTAGCCAAAAAGTCCTGACTTTGGATCTTGTTTAAAATCGTTGTTACTCATACATGACCCTTAGCTGTTTAACATGATTGAATGAACATAATGAACAATGATAAGATAATTTGTGACACAGAACCAGCTGGGCTGTGAGCTGTCTCCCTGTACACTTGCCATTTTTTTCTCCTCCATGTTGTCACAGATGCTGACAGTGGACAGTGTTATGTGTATCAGAAGTTAGTGTGGAAGGTGTTGTCTGTGAGGTTCAATGTCCAGATGCCGTAGATGTGCAAACAAGTGGCTGAACTTTGGTCTGTTTTTTGTAAGCGGTCACTCATTTAACTCTTTGTGAGATCAATATTTAGATTTTTTTAAAGCGCAAAGACACACTGTTAAAAATTCATATTTTAAGAAAACAATACTCCCAGAGACGTGAAGTTTAAGACTCAAACTACGCACCAGACATGTTTCGAACCTAAAAAGTACACATTTTAAAAATCAAACTGAGCCAGATGAAGGGTTGCATCACTTTCAGGTTTAATGGGTCTCTGTGTAAATGTCCAGAACTGAAATGGATCCAGTTTAAAAGGTGTCTTAACAGCGCCATCTTTTGGCAAATCCTGTAGTTACCAGGTTATCCCTTAACGCAAGTACTATATATAAATTTTATATACACATTATACATACAGTACAAATCCTCAATATATAATTACACATGGTAAGTCTATGGCGTTATTAAAATACTTTGCAAAACAATATGGAATACATTAATGTAAAAATAAGCATGAGTTAACATATTCAGGAACATGATGTAAATAAAAAGATCTTCAGAATCTCAGAAATTCAACGACTAACTTTGCAAAGTGCAGCGTGTCAAGTTTTTCACATTTAGCTGCTGCTCTTCAATGCAGAGTTGACTCTTCCAAACATATCAAGTTATGTTTGTGACTCTGGAGGTGATCAGTCGCGTCTGTTGTTACCATATTTAGTATCAACACTGCATCAGCAAGTATTTTAATACATGTGTCATGTTTTGAATAGTGTTTTATTCAGTTTTTCCCCCCTTCATGAGCAAACTGCTCCAGCTCTGTGCGGAGGTTTGACACATTTAATGCCCACTGAGACGTTTGTGGGTCTGATGTGCAGAAAAGACCCTGATGATCAGTCTTTAGATGGACTGAAAACATGAATTGTGCTTCAGGTTTTAGACAATCTAACCCCCCCCCCCCCCCCCCCCCCCCCCCCCCCCCCCCCCCCATTGTATTTGGCTTGAAGATCAGCTGCTAAAATAAAATCAGGTCAGTTTTAAACATCTTTCTTGAGATCTCGAACTCTGAATAGAAGCAAGTTTGTCTTTTCTCTACCACTCGGGTATCGTCAGTCTTCTTGTAATACGATGAATTCATTTGGTTGTTCCCACTGTAATACTTGCAGTGATGTTTGAACATTTGTCAACATTTTGGTATTTTTTTTTCTGCATAAATGATCTTTAAGTCCTAAAAGCAGATAAGAGAACCCAATTAAAGAAGTGAGGAAAATATTCTACTTGGTCAGGGAATGATCCAGTATTATTTATCTGTGTGTAGATAAAGCATATTGATGATCAGTTTATTTACAGATGGGAAATTCTCTCTGAAAATAACATTTTGGTCCATCTCTATTAAACGGATGACACCTAAATGTATCCTTTGGTTTAAAAGAAACCAAAGTATTGTTTGGAGAAATCAAAACATGAATGTTAGGATGGTATACTATCACTGATTTATTATTTTGGCAAAATCTAAAAAGGAAATGTAGGGACAGCGTCTTATAATCAGATGTGTTATTCTCCTGAAAAGTGCTATTAAAAAAAGAAATTTTTTAAAAAGTTTAAGACATGAACCTGATCCGTCTACAATACATGAAACATTTTTATCRTTTCCATCTTGCGTCCACACATAAATGAAGCCCCAAAGGTTCAAAAGCGAAAAAATCTTGAAATGCCACTTGTGTGTTTTCATGTAAACTGCTAAAACACAACCCTTCAAAAAGGATGATGTTTTAGCCCCAACTCTAATGTGACATATAAGCAAAAGGTGTCCAGTTCATCTTGTTGCGTTTAAATGTGTAAAATTTATGCTCTCCTTGTTTCATGGATACAGTTTTTTGTTCATGGTTGTGTTGCAGCGCCACTTACAGGCTTGGCATAGTTCCTACAGTGTTTAGGGTCATATTCAGCATTTTCGCATGGTTGTGGAAACAAGATCATATTGTTAGAATTTTTTTTTAAAGATGGTTTTGGAAAATAATGCAGTCCTGTGCTGAAAAAAAAAGGCCAAGATTATGTGAGAAAAATGGACCAAGAAAAAGGCAATGATTCAAGCCTGTTTCTATTCACAAATAAAAATATTGGATCATGCTCAGTCARATTTATGAGACATTTCTTTTCTTGCTACTCAACTTAAAAAGAGAAAAGGAAAAAGTCAGAAATGCAAAAAGTTTTAAAGGCTTCCCAAGTCATAAACCAAACAACATAGGTTTAGTAACGGTAATGTATACTGGCKGTCAGGGTTTCTGTTGTGTGCAGTTGTTACAAATGTAGAACACTGTTGGTACTGGCATTAATTAGGAATTGACAGGAGGAATTTTTTAGACAGCTTTTTAAGTCTGTCTATGCCAAAAGTGAATGTTCTACAGGTGTTTATTTTTTGTTTTACTCAAGTGGATTGCTCTGCTTTAGAGTTTTCTTTTCCCAGATTCCTTCCAGTAAGTGAGGGGAACATAGAACACCAGCACACCAGGAAGTAACACTCTGGAAGATTCGACCCAAAGTCAGCAGGGGAAACATCTGGGAAGGAACATGAGCTGAAACGTTTCAACTCGTCAGGAATATTTCTGTCCAGTCCTTCTCATACAAAGAACTGGTTTTGGTGCAGAGGTGCGAGGGGGATGTTGGGAAGCGAAGGAGATTGGATTAGTTACTCTGGTTGCCGACCGGAGGGAACTCGTTTTCGTCATCCAGACAAATGGGGCCTTCTGCAAATTCGTGCTCAGGGATGACTTCGCCCTTCTGGGCTCCACCGTCTTCAGAGTAGCCTGGAAAGACACCAACATGGAAGAGACAAAAGGTTTCCGTCACCCCTTATAACAGACTTCGGTTAAAGGTCTAGCACTGACGGTTTGCATATCGCCCGCCATCTTTCATGTCTGAGTTTTAAATTTAGATCTTAGAGTTTTAGCTGTTTTGATCAAATCTTGAAAATAGCGTTATTCTGATCTCATGTGACCTGTTAATGCTCAGAGTATGTGTTGAGAGTGACTCTCAGCTACCACTGCTCCAGATTTTAGCTCAGTACCTGTGAAACTGACTTGACTCATATCCCCCGAGATATTGCCACAAACGTGCACACACACACACACACACACTCACACACACTCACAAACATAAATAATATTTTCCCTTTTAGCGATAATAGCAAAAATCAGACCTAAAACAGTATCTTTTCATCAACAACATAATCCCTAAAGAGCTACTAACCAAAAATATAGAATGTCAGTGTGCAGTTCTTCTTTAGAGAACATAGAGCACACAACTTACTTAAAGTAAGAAAAACAAAACAAGAGACTAGACACAGACTCTAGAGATATTACGAATATTTATGTGTAACATCCACTATTAACAATATCTGCCTGAAAAACTGTGTTAATGAAAGGGTGGCTATTAAAAAGCCTTACTTAAGAAAGAAAAGCAATGAGAAAGAGCCATTATGTCAAAGTACAGATAAACTGGACAGGTAGTTTTTTTTTAAGGATTTTTGTTTTAAATCATCTATATAAAAGACGGAATATCTCAGAGACAGATTTTATACTCAGAAATGTACATCATTTGCATTATACTATATTTYCATTTATGTTTGCCTCTTTCAGGAAACTGCACATATTTCCCATTTTACTTGAAACACATAAAGAACTGAGTGGTGACTAAAGACTTTCCGCCCTGCTAGTATCTGTAAAAAATTGACAAAACTAATACTGTATTATTATCTCCAAAAAGTCAACAGATTCA